AATTTGAAGTGAATTTCTCTACAGTATGCTCGAAGTTTTCGTCAATAAAATATAGTATACATATAATTTACCATTTTTATCTTTATGAAATAATATTATATTTTAAAATAATTTTGTTTTCCAATGACATAAAACACGCCCGACGCCATTTTGACGAATATTTTTCGATTTTACAAGCTTGGATCTTGTGTTGCATCTGTGTAATCCGGATGGTACGTTTTATGTAAACCCGTTAGCCATAAGAACAGATACTTGTTCTCTGTATGAAGTTAAGAGTGTAACGTATCAATACCGATTCCATAAGTTATTTAGAATGATATTCAAGTTGGACATATTGTTTACTCAAAATCTATTTTACGGTATTTTTAACTATCTTATCTCCTTTCAGGCCATACAAATTTATGATTATGAAAGAACTCATTTATTCACTACTGAAAAAGCAGCCAAAGTGATATAAAGATCAAAATCGCCTTTTTAATGGTTCTCTTTGAACAGATCCTATAAGCTAAGCGCATAATCTAAAACGCATAACTCTAAAGATTGACATACTTGTAATATATGCTTTTATGATATATGTATGTGCTTAATGAAGATCTATTGTAATAGATTACAAAAATTGTGTCAAGAAAAGTTCATACTTCCAGTGAAGAGGTCTACAAGCTTTTTCAAGCTAGAATGCATCCTGGGCTTACTATTATTTTCTTATAGTAGTTAAAGTTACTTTAACACATTTGTTTCAAGTTGTTCAGAAATAGTGATCAGATCATTTATGGCTATTGATTGGAAAGTCTGGAAGTCTGTAGGATAAATTGGATTTAAGTACGATAGGAAAACAAGAGACTTTAACTTTATTGAGTCTTATGTCATTGAGACTATTTGCAAATAATGACAGACTTAAGGGGTTTCTTCAGGTGAAAAACAACCTTTTTTCAACGATTTTTTTCTCATATAAAAATTATATATTTTATTAGAATTTTTTATTACATACTATTACTGAAGAAATTCTAAATTTTTTTGAAAAAATATTTTAAACTTGGTTATTAAGAAATCTTGACAAACCGACATCAAAAACAAAGTTTTTGATCAACTTGAGAATTTAGAACAATATTTTAGAGGTTTTGAAAATTTTTATAAGACAATAAAAAACTACATTTTATATCGAATCCACATATCGTCATATACATATAATGCAAAACATAGTATCTTCAAAGAAATTGAAATTGAGTTTTTTATTGCTAACGATTCACTACATCATAATACATATATATGTACATATATAGCATAAAATTTTCAGTTCCGTTGTCATATATAACCAATATATAACCATTTTATAACCAAAAATCAAATTTTGTTTCAATATGAGTGGTTTCATTCTATTATTTTTTCTTCGTCTTTAAACTTATCAAAAGTGGTGTTACATTATTTTGAGTTTTAGGTGACTATAGGGAATATGCTCCAAATATTTGAAGTTGATACGGCATAAAGTTTCGGAGATTTGCGCATATTTGGAAGAATTTAGCTTAGTGTAATCGGTTTCCAAACTCAAACGGCGTTTTTCGTGAAACATGTTTTTCGGAGTCGGTGAGGAAAAGTTTTCCGATCGTATGTTCAGATGGCTTAGGTCAAATAAAAAAAATTTCGAATTTGAAATTTCGATTTTGCAACCCATTCTGAAGTGTAATTTTTTTTATAAAAACCGACTTTTTCTTTGTAAGCCGCCATTTTGATAAAAATCGATATTTGACTAGACTTCTATCAATAATTGCATTCATTTATTTTAATAATAATACACATAAATTTTAATATATACATATTTGTGAATTTCGATTAATTTTAGGCATAAATTTCATCATCTTTTTTCGGAGGTCCTCCTGCAAATCGGCTACGAGAACAAGGGAATATATAATGTTTCAAAATTAATCAACATTTTAAGGTATATTAATTATTTAATTATTTTTAATAAAAACCTGTTCAAAAATCTCACAAAGACATGCTTTTCTTGACTTGTAAGTGGATATAATCACTTTCCCTTGTTTTGAAAAATATAAGACCTATAGAGTTTAATTATTTTATTTTTAGTATCGCTGTATTTTCCGGACATGATTAGATTGAAAAAAGCCTTTTTCGGCTATGGTACTCGATATATTCCTTAATTACATACGAATGAATAAATAATACAAGGCTAACAGTATCAGTTATCCTCGTCATTACTTTAATACTTTACACTATATCTCAAGTATAATTTTTTCCGTCAGTATTCAAGTATAAATTTGAAAAATGAAATAACTTCGCAAAAATGTTCTGCAATAGCAACCTTTCTCCACAACTCCTTTGCTGTATATATGATTCTGAATTCATACATATGTACAGATGTATATATGTATATATTATTTAAGGGTGTGTTGCATGCCAAATAAATTACAACACACAGGGTCGTCATTCATTCTCTTTCCTAACTTCAAAATGAAAATACTGCAGCCAAATTGGATTTGTGCATTGAACTCCAAACTCTCAATTCCCGCGAGACTACCGCTATAATAAATATCAATGCCGGCAACAATAACAATAACAACAGCATAAAAAAAATGTAACAAACAACTGCAAACATGCACAAAAGCGATGGCCGCTCGTGGCAGCTGAGCTGGGCAAGGCGGAGTCAATGCCTTGAGTGGAAATACACACTCATGCACATGCACAGTTGGTCCTGAGAGTGAGAGTAAAGCGGTATCATATAAATTCTGCTAACTCTGTAAGCACTGTGCACATTTAAGTGTGCGAAAGAGAGAGACAACTGTATTTGTGGGCAGCTTGTATGGAAATGTATCTACACGCACACATAGAAGCGTAGATAATTTCTATATATGCTTACAGCATAAACAACAATAATGCGTTGTTTGGCGAGGGGTGAGGAGATTGTGTGTAAATGTTGGCTGGAGCATCCGCAGAGCTTTGCGAATGCCGTCTTCAGTTTTGCGGAAGCGTTTTTTCGGTATTCTGCGGTGATTGTAAGGGCTTTAAATGTAAGACAAATGCATACAAACATACTAATGCATGTGTTTATACGAATAATCGTCTTAATATAAGCATTTTGGCGCTGATCGATCGATTATCGAAACGGGAGCGTGGTGCGAGTTACTAATTCACTTGTTTTGTGATTTTTTATTTTTATGAAATTGCTATGAAGTGAAACAGCGTTGACATTACATGGAGCAGCACGCGCCAACTGTGAATATAGTTTTGAAGTGGGGAGCGAGATGAAAGATAAACACAAGTTGATTTTTATATAGAAGAAGAAAAAATAAGATACATACATATGTATGTATGTATGTAATACTATGTAGGATCTTTGTGTTGATGTTATATATCAATTGAATATGTATGTAAATGTGTGCGTATATAGTATGTATGTATGTACATATGTATATGTGAATGTATGTATGTATATATGTATATGCTTCAATCGGCAATTTGAGTGCAGTGTTGGCTGTTCAGCTGCGTTTACCCCTTTGACGTTTCGGTTTTCTTAAGTATATACCTTGAATAGTGTATATTGAGTTTGTCCCGCAGTTTGTAACACCCACAGGAAAAAGTCGGAGACCCTATAAAGTAAATCGTCACTTGAAATGCAAATTAACGTAATATCACTTTTCATAAATTTACAAGCGAGGAAGAACGAAATAATATAAACCACTCATACCCTAAGAAATTTTGAGGTTTGATTATAAAATGCTTATATATTGGATATATCTCACAGCGGAAGCTTAAATATACATATCTAACATGATGTAGTGAATCGTAAACAATACAAAACTCAATTTCGATTTCTTGACGATAAATTGTACATATACATATAATTAATGAGCGTGACGGGCTGCGCCAATTTAGTCATGTTCGGTCTGTATATACCCGAACTAGTCCCTCAGTTTATAAGCTATCGATCTGAAATTTCGAACACTTCCTTCGCTCACCAAAAAGCTAGTGATTTGTCAGAATCGCCAATATCGGACCGCTATAAAATATAGCTGCCATACAAACTGATCGCTCAAAATTCAGTTTTTGTATGGAAAAGTTTTTTATTTGACGAGATATTCCCACGAAATTTCGTACAAAATATTACTTAATACAACGCTATAATCTTCAATCAATTGAAGATCAGAAAAGATCAGACTACTATAGGATATAGCTGCCATACAAACTGATCGCTCAAAATTTAGTTTTTGGATGGAAAACTTCTTTGTTTGAAGAGCTATCCTCACAAAATTTTGTACTTATTATTACCAAAAGCAACGATATAGTTTGCTAAGAAATTGCTCAGATAAAACCAGTATAGCATATAGCTGCCATACAAACTGAATGCACAAAATCCAGTACTTGTAGAGAAAACTTTTTGTTTTGAAGAGATATCTTCACCAAATTTTTTATTTATTATTATCAAAAGTAGCGATATATTTTCCGAAGAAATTTTTCAGATCGTACCACAAGAGCATATAGCTGCCATACAAACTGAATGCACAAAATCCAGTCCTGCTATGGAAAACTTTTTTATTTAACAAAATATCTTCACTAAACTTTGCATAGATAATTAACTAAAGCAATGCTATAATCACTGTTAATATGACTCAGATCGGGCAACTATAGCATATAGCTGCCATACAAACTGTGCGAACAAAATGAAGATAAGTCAGTGCAGCCAAAATAAAGCAGCTGTGAAGGGTATTAATTACGTTGCATCTATTTTTCCTTGTATACATATATATTCTTCGCCACTGCAACCAACACAAGCGCAGCGAATGCACATCCTTACATTTGTAAATTTGTATTAATGTGCAGCAAACACTGATTTACTACCACAAGCACGCCGGTTGGCGGCAGAAGTGCATATAACAGCGATAGCTGTGTGGGACAAGTATATACAATAAGCAAGCTTAAGTTGAAATATATATACACACACATACATACGTATATGCAAGTAAATATGTGTGTGCTAGCGCTTATGTGTCCCATAGTAGGCACTCAGTTTTATCTGGCGAGTCAGTAAATATTCGTGAGATTTACAACACGCCTGAAAATATTGGCTTTTGGCATGGCGGCGGCAGTATATCGTTGGCGTACATAGCGTGAATTCGCGGCACGCTCTTTGTTCGTTGCACATTCCGCTGCATTGTCAACGCTAAGGACGGCGACTCTGTGTAGATATATTGAAAGCGCAAAGTGCCGGGCAAAAGTAACTGGCACACAAAGCATTTTGCAAAGGGCGAACGCGAATTCGATTGCGAGTTTTTTTTTCTTTTTCTGTTTAAGTAACGAAAAAACGCTATTGTTTTCGGTGCATTGTGTCAAATAGTAAAGAGTGCAGAAAAAAGTGAAAAAAAAATCACAAAAAACCCCAACGTGCCAAGCAACTGCTGTGACTACCACACACAAACGCTTTTGCGGCCGCAGCGCTGTGACGCGTCATCACAAAGCAAGCCGACAAAAAAAAAAAATTAGAAAAAAATACAGTAATAATAAAAAAAAAACACTTACATTGCCACAGTAGCTAAAGCATTATCGCTATTGCGGCCATACATCCGCCAATTCGTCAACCTGCTGGCATTAGGGTGCTACGGCACAAAAGAATGCCCCGCACAACGCCGCCGCACCGCTAATTAACTGAAAATCGCCTGCTGAAATATTCATCCTGTCTATTTGAGTTTGATTGTGTCATTGTAGTTGTCGTTGTTGTTTTTTATTCGATTGTCTTTTTTTTTTTTTTTTGTTGGTTGTTTGAGTTACGCCGCCACGCAGCCCATTGTTGTCTGTCTGTGGCCTTTCGTCGCGTTCAGCGCAGACATTCAGACGCCATTGAATTGCATGTTTGTTGTTGTTATTGCCATTATTTAACAGCGTATCGTTAATTGCAACATCCGTCGTCGCCATGTTGGTACCGCCGGATATGTTGGCGGCGCAAACGCGCATGATATATCAGATGAATCGCTACTGTGCGGAGCGCGTCCAAGCGCGTATGTTCAAAACGGCCACAGCCATAAGAGAGATCTGCAAAATCGTACAGGATATTCTGAAGGAGGTGGAACTGCAGGAGCCGCGCTTCATCTCCAGTTTGGTGGAGTGCAATGGCAGGTAAAGATCAGTTATATTTTAAGAGTTTGTAAAGGGCAATTATATCTTGTCTGAAAATTTCTTCTATAACTAAAACTAACAACAATTTTTAAATATATTAGATTTCAATACAAATTAGATATTCCAAGTGAAGACAGGTCCTTCTCCATTTGGTCCTTCCAACGGAGTGGAGGTCTTCCTCTTCCTCTGCTTCCCCCGGCGGGTACTGCGTCGAATACTTTCAGAGCTGGAGTGTTTTCGTCCATTCGGACAACATGACGTAGCCAGTGTTGCCGCTTTTTTCTTAATTCGCTGAACTATATCAATGTGGTCGAAAATCTCATATAGCTCATCCTTCCATCGAATGCGATATTCCCCGTGGCCAACGCGCAAAGGACCATAAATCTTTCGCAGAACCTTTCTCTTGAACACTCGCAACATCGACTCATCAGATGTTGGCAGCGTCCATGCCTCTGCACCATATAGGGTGGGGATTTTGGTATTGTTCCACGTTTTGCCGGAATACCAAATTCAGACAAAGCAGCTTTGAAATTAACGAAGAGGTGGTGTGTGTCGTTTCTCTTTTCATGGGTCTTTTTCAAGATTTTTTTTTTTTTTTTTGAGTAGGGGAGAGCATTAAAAGCCGAACGGCGGAACTTTAATCCGCTAAACCTAACCCACTCCCAACTCCAGACTATCCGACGGAACAACCTGATTCAGTATTACTTCGTAGGAGTGATAAGACTTTTAAGTCTCCTCTATGGCACGGACTGACGGACGCCTGTTGTGCTATATACATACATATATGTCTAAGTTTTGTCATCAATAAGGCTACCGCTTCGCCGACCACTTTCCCGTTCTCAGTGGACTGATACATAAGTATGTACGTGTCGTGAAATTTTCCACCGAAACTACCACAGAGTGTAGCTTTAAGTAGTTTTCTTTCACTTAAAATGCGCAGGCAATAAAAGAATGCATGCTAAGAGTCTTCAAAGCACTCGGAACACAACAGACTATTCGGACTAATGCCGTGCTGGAATCTGTACAGGTAGCTTCTAAAGCACCCATGTCCACTTAGTGTATGGGTTAGGTGGAAATCCAGGTCACCATGTCGTCTGTCGATGCAGGAATGTATGTCCGCGTATTACTCTGTAGATTTACCGTGCTTTGAGTGAGGTTTGTCAACGCTGCTGCGATATCGTTAAGCTTTTCACCATCTCTTCTCTTTTGGCTCCTATAGATGGCTCTGATAAATTGTATACTCGCTCATATTCGTCACCCTGGATGTCAATGGGCAACATACTGGCTATTACTTCAGCAGCGCCTGCACTGTGTTTATTTGTCTGGGACATGTTTTGATGCCTAGAGTCTGGATCCATATCGGAGTCGCATATAACATAACCGATCTCATTGTTTTTGCAAGTAAAAAGCGCCGGCCGCACGCAGCCTTGTCATCATTCTTGATGAGGCACTCAGGATTTTATTCGCTTTACCTGTAGTGTATTCCATGTGATCCTTAAATTGGAGCCTTGAGTCTACTATTCTTTACAGATACTTTAGGCGTGGCTGTGAAGGAATCTCGCACTCCACACAAGACTTCTGTACTCATTGCATTTGCTCCGGAAGTCATCGAGGTGTTTAGCCACTGCTACCGCAATAAGGTTTGCGTAAGCAACCAATTTAATACCTTTCGGTTGGTGTCTCCTTAGCATCGCATCATGCATTATGCTCCATAGAAGGGGGCCTAGTACCGAGGATTACGGTACTCCACTCGAAATAGAATAGCTCTGGGTACCTTCAACTGTATCGTATAATAGACGCCTGTTTTTAAAATAAAAAGTATAGTATATTGAGGAGCTTGTATGTCATACAGAGCCTTGATTATGTTTGTCCACTTTGCTGAGTTAAAAGCATTCTTCACATCCAGGGGGATTGTCAGTGACATCGTATAGTGCGTCAATGAAAAAATCTGCTCGATAGATAGATTTTCCAGGTCCAAGCCAGACTGATAAGGTCCAATCAGTTTGTTGACAGTCTATCACACACTACTTTCGATAGTGTGCTTAGAAGCCTGACAACAACATTTAGCGCACTATAACCGTAATTCCAGCTGCAATCCATTTCTTTATTGGACAAAGTGAAAAACAATACAATTTTACTCATCTCAGTTAAAAAATCTCTCAATTACTTAAGCCAAGTTTTCACATTTACCTTGCATTAAATGGGCCAATGCGGTTTTGAGGTCGYACATATTACATATTACATATATACGTAAATTATATACATATGTTTCTGTAGTCACATATGCATTTCAATCGATCTGTTGCCATTTAAAGCTATTGAATGTTCATTTACGGCGCTCGAAGGCGTAACTTTGCTGCTTGTAATGGAAGACATACAAGTCATTAAGCGCCCACAGATCCATTAGTCCATCAGTCCGTCTGGCTGTCTGTCTGACTTGTTAGCCCTCGAGCTGTTGTTGCCTCGTCGATTTGTCAAAGAACCTGAAGTTGTGCAATTTGTCCATCAAGTGAGACGTTAACACGAGCCCACTGGAGTTACTTGCTAATTGCTGCGGTTTGTCTTCAACGGTGTTGCCACTAGTGGCGCTTTGGACTGTAGTATTGAACTATATAGAGTATAAACTTATGTATACATATGTTTATAAATTTATATAAATAAATAAGGCAATGCAAAAAAGTTTCATTTATACTAAGTAAGTACTTCAAATCTATCCTTTTCTCCTTCCGCAGATTTGAGGGCGTTCAAGTGATCTCGCCGAATGAATTCGAAATTGTCTTGTATCTCAATCAAATGGGTGTTTTCAACTTCGTCGATGACGGCACCCTACCCGGCTGTGCGGTGCTCAAGCTGAGTGATGGTCGCAAGCGTTCCATGTCTCTGTGGGTGGAATTCATCACGGCGTCGGGTTATCTGTCTTCGCGCAAGATACGCTCGCGTTTTCAGACGCTGGTCGCGCAAGCGTGTGACAAGAGTATTTATCGTGATATGGTCAAGGTGATCGGCGATACAACCGAAGTTAAGCTGCGCATTCGTGAGCGTTTTGTCGTGCAAATAACGCCGGCTTTCAAATGTTCCGGCATATGGCCGCGTTCGGCGGCTCATTGGCCGCTGCCACATATACCCTGGCCACATCCGAATATAGTGGCCGAAGTGAAGACGGAAGGCTTCGACTTGTTGTCGAAGGAATCAATTGTCATGCAGAATAAGAACAATAATGCCGCGATGGAGGGCGATGCGTGGGTGCTGAGCTTCTTCGAAGCGGAAAATCGTCTACTACAGGGTAAGTTTTTGGGTATACTTAATGGAGATGCGATTTAACTCTACATATAGTTTAATTGTGTGGAATGAAAATAAGTATTATTATGAATATATAAGCGAAATTCGCCTAAATTCGATATACATATGACTTAATTTCCGAAGTCCCATAGAACTTACTCTTCCAAATTAAAAAAAAAAGTATATGGTTCTTAACTTTACGAATTCCATCTGGCATATGGTTCTTAACTTTACTAATTCCATATTTTTACCAATTAAAAAACGTCAGACCCACTTAACCGCGTCTACGAGATCTCACTTAGTTTCTCATTCACTTAGTTCGATTTTTCTCTCTATTTTCTCCAGTGGCTGCGATAATTTATTGATTTCGAGTAATTAAGACATTTTAGTTACTTATATATCGCATTTTCTGAATTTTCGAAAAATATCGTTATTTGACTTTTAGTCGCTAACTCGAATTTGTTGATATTTGTAGTGTTTAGGATGGAATAATACCGACAAACAATCAGTAAATCATAGTAAAAATATCGACTCATTCGTTTTAAGCTATAATATTCCTTTATTTATGGAGATAACCCCCCTTTAAAATTCGTTTGGTCTAAAAATTATTAAAATATAATTTAATTTCAAATTATTCATATTTTTTACCTTTATCCTGCCTGATCAAATTTGACCCGGACTGACAAACATTTCATTTTTATGCAAATGTTGTTGTAGCCACATAAAATATTCATGAAATAATTTTAGGGATGCTGTCGGGTATGATCAAATTTGACCCGGACTGACAAAAATTTTAAGTATTTTAATACAAATGGTGTTGTAGCGACATAAAATATTCCTGTAATAATTTTTGGGATGATGTCGGGTTGATTGTTCTTGGCAGCATAAAAATCTGGGTCCGTTTCGGTGACATACGGTAGACCCGACTGTAATGAAACGGAAATATTTAATATCTTTAAAATAAACTCTCCTTTAACGTTCATACAAATTTACTATTCTTCTTAACTACTATATCATACAAAAACAGTAAAGAACTTGCTTCGAATTCAGTGAAAATTATAATATTTATCTCTCTCCCTCTCTCTCGTTTACGAAATTTTTCGCCCCGCTAACACAGGTGGCTGCCGTCGTCGCTGTTTAAGCATACTCAAGACATTGCGTGATCGTCACCTCGATCTACCCGGCAATCCGATCACCGCTTACCATCTGAAGAATCTACTGCTCTACGAATGTGAGAAACATCCGCGTGACTTCGAATGGGACGAGCCGTGCATCGCCGATCGCATCAACGGTATCTTTCTGCAGCTGATCTCATGTCTACAATATCGCCGATGTCCACACTATTTCCTACCGACACTCGACATGTTCAAAGGCAAATCGCCCAGCTCGCTGGAGCAGGCGGCCAAGCAGGTTTGGTGTTTGACGCGCGAAATGCTGACCAATGCGAATGCATTCGAGAAACTCTAAAGCCAACGCGACGCGTCTATTTATTTATATATATAAAAAAAAAAACAAATAATCAATAAATAAAATGTTATAGATAGTGCAACAACAACAACTACAACACATTAGCAGTAAGAATAGCACTTAAAGGGCGAAAACGAAGGCTGCGGTGACGGCGAGGAAATATTGCTGCTGAGCGCTGAGCCAACTCAGCATTCATGTCTAGTTGCAACTTTGGATGTACTTACATATGTATATGAGTGTGTGTGGATGTACACATGTATGTATGTGAATGAGTATATTTTCGCGATTGCAATGCGCTGATAACACTGACAGCATTGGTGTCAATTGGCTGCTGTGTGAGTGCCGCTCCAACGACGAGGGTGCTGAGGATGTGGCGGCATGTCTATGAGTATTCACAAATATACATGCATATATCTATACACATACATGCATAGGTATGCTTGCAATGCCTCACATGTATATGTTGCATGCATGTATTGTTTCGTGTGCATGCTGCATGCCACATCTTCCATGTGAAGTGCTAAAAAATCGCATTTGATAAAATCTGCAACAGAAAACTACTTCATTTTCAAATTGTATTCATGGCGATTTGGCAGGCCTTACGGCAATGAGCCTCCAGCAGCCGGCACCAAGTTAGATTCGCAGCGATAGGAACGCGTGTACACGCCTGTAGTTATGTCTGTCTGTTCACAAGCATGCATATGTTGATGTGCCGCCGGAGATAACGTCATCTATGAGATTATCCTTGCGTTAAATATCCTTTTTTATGTCTGTTGTTTGGCACTCGTCTTTCAGGCGTTTCGTGTAAAGCGTGTAAAAGGTGCAGTTAAATATTTCGTAGCTTATATACATCTACATTTATATATTTACATACATGTATGTATATATAATGATCACATATAAGTAACTAATATGTAAGCCCTTCGCCAATTAATTACACAATCAGCTGTCGCACATGTAACTGTGCATATGAACAATTTTACATAATAATTACTATTTAACTACTTATACACATGCATAATACTATACTATATAATGGCTGTAAAGCTGTTATTTACCTTATTAAGCTTCCATTTTCAAATGCTTTGTGAATTAAAAAGCTCTCAAAGTTTTTGAAAATTATAAATATTTGTAAAAAAAATAATTAATTTAAATAATTAATAAAAAAATTAATTAATGTAATAACTAAATAAAAAATAATTAATTAAAAAAATTTATTAATTTAAATAATTAATAATTTAAAGAATTAATGCTTTAAGCATACAATATTATTACTCTAATAATGAAATATTTTTCGAATGCGTTAGTTTGTAACAAACATTTTTTATAAGTGTTACACAGTACATAGTATAGCATATATGTACTAACACATAAAAAATGTAATTAACTATTGTATTTATATTTCAACAAATTTGTTATGGACAACTTACATAGTGTTATAAAGAATGTATAAAATTTTACCACTTCCTTAAATAAATGCAAAACAACTTTTTAATGTTTAACTCCGAAAAATAAAAAGGAATTTTTTATATATTTATGAAATGGTGGCAACTCTCGATAAAAAACATATTTTTTAGTTAGGAGCTTGTGACTTTTGCACAGCATTAATTTTCACACATTTTCTAATCGTTCAAAATCATTGAATTATTTCGTTAGCAATTTTTAAAATAATCTTTAAGTTTCTAGAGGTGGCTAAAACCAGGACATTTATTCATCTCCACGATTGCACTGACCCTTGTATTCATCTGATAAAAAAAAAAAAAGAAAAGGCATGAAAGAAATTCTTGAGTACTACATATGTTATTTTGGTATGAAGCAACAAACCTGGAGAAAATGTTCACAAACTGATGGCTGCCCAAAAACAATGGTACTTTTTCAATTTTTTTTTGTTTTTTTTTTTTTTTTTTTTAAATTAATAGAATGAATTCGAATTTTAAGTTTTTAATTTGGGGAGATATTCCTGAGTTGACAAATTTGACAAATTCATTCGAAACAAAATAAAAAAATTTAATTTTTTGATCTCCGGCATACCTTGGACTCAATAGCTGATTAGCGGAAGATCTCGATGTAAATTAGATCTTCTTTGGAAGTTTATTTTTTAATAGTAGTTCATCTCGAGGTTTACCGTCGTAGGGCTATAACTCATTCTTACTCTTGCGTCCTCGTATGTACCTGGAAAATCCGATTCCTAAATTGGAAAAGTCTCAATGTACAGCTGGTTGATGTCCTCATAACAGTAAAAGCTGTTATCACCTCCATCCAAGTAATGCGATAGATGGAACAACAACTCAGGTGAATAGGCCCTTGTGGCACTTACTACAGCGGTCATTTAAAGGCGGAATTCGGTATGGGACTCGTGGTCGGAGAAAGGCTCCGTCGTCGAGTTCTGACATTCACTCTGGTGGATGAGCGTCTAGTCACAATCAGATTATGATATGGTCAAAAATATGTTTTATGAGCGGCTAGAGCGCGTTTATTGCGATTGCTCACTGGGCAAAGAAGGTTCAACAGTATAGGGCTGATCGACTTCGTAGCGGCCTGAGATATGATTGCCTGTAATACTAGATTTCAGCACAAGAAATTCATCAAGCTACTAGTCTGTCTTCGGATCGAAAAGTTCGAAGCCCGTTCGAACATGTAGTGGCAGAGGGACGACATATCTGAAATGTCTTTGTCGTGCGTACGCTCCGAGTACCGAAAATCGACCCTGACCACTGCGTGTTGTAGTGAAGATACGCGCCCGCCTTTGAACAGCAAAGTACGCTTGTCAACCAACAGAGGGAAGACGGCGAGAAGCTCCTATCAACACCGACAGCGAAATTGTTTTCTACTCGACTTGCACTCCTGCTCTTTGAGAGTGCTCATCAGAAGCTCGGTATAAGTATTTCGTGCTCGTGCCGCAGTGGAGAGAAAGCGATCGACCACAACACGAGCGGCGTGAAATATGTATATACAGAGAGTTGATGAGCGAAGCGCAGAGGGAGTATGAAGAGAGAAGCTGACAAACAGAAGTAATGCTTGAAAATTCTGCGAAAAGATGCTGAGGTTAACGGAAAGTTTCAAGACCGAAGTATACTTTTGTCGGATCCGTCCTGCTATATGGTGCAGAGGCATGGACGATGACAATATCTGATGAGTTGGCGATCAGAGCTTTCGAGAAAAAGGCATTGCGGGAGATTTGGGGTTCTTTGTGTATTGGTAATGGCGAATATCGCATTCAATGAAACGATGAGCTGTATAAGATATACGACGGACATTGACAACAGTTTTTGCGAATTAAGAGACAGTGACTGCGCTAGATAGGTCATGTTGTCCGGATGGAAGAGAACACTACAGCTATGAAAGTTTTCGTTTCAGTATCCACCGGTGGAAGCAGAAAGAGGAAGAGGAAAACCTCCACTTCGTTGGAGGGATCAGATGGAGAACGACCTGGCTGAACTTGGTATTTCGAATTGGTGCCAAATTTTTTAATATCTAAGAGCTTCTCATATTCGCTTGTTAATAATTAAAAGTCGTAGAATAAAGACAACAATTCATAAAAAATATTCCATTTCCTGATTTATAGTTGAAGGCAAGAAAAACGAAAAACCGGCAAATAATCATGAGAATGGCAAAATGAAATCCATCTGTTTATAAAAGTGATCATAAACAATGAGACAATGGAAGGGGAAGTGCAGTGGCAAGGCAGTTAAGTAAGTAAGTAAACACCGGTAAAAATGTACTCATGTGTGTATGTATGTGTATGTGTGATTGTGGCGAGCACTTTCCTATAGCGAAGCGTGTAGGTGAGCAAGAATAACAAATTATAGCCAAGCACGAACATTTGGAAAGCAGAAAAGGCGCAAAGAAGATAAGAAAAATGATGCGACTGTGCAAATCAATGAGGAGTGGGGTTTAAGACACACTTACCTACACGTCCACACACACAAACACACGTGCGGAAAGTATCGCATTTCAAGCGCTAACCAAGCAACAAGAACAAAAACAACAAATAGCCGCACAGCCGCACTGTGGAAGGAAGCGTGGAGAATGGCAGCGAGGCTTACAAAGGCGGATTCCAACTCACGCAGCTGATTAAGAAAGCATAGTTGCGGTCACAAAGCACAAAACCACACCAGCAAGCAGCCGAGTGCTTACTCCCTCGCAGCAGCGCGCGTGCAAACGACGGCAAGTGCGGCAGTTCACAGCCAACCGAGGGCAGCAGAGCATATGGGTCTGCGAAAGGCCAGGTGATGCTGCAGATGCTTTTGCCTAAACGCCATTATTTGCTTTTATTTGGCTTACCAGGGCAATAACAATTCGAGGGTGTGCGCTGTCGGGCAACTGGTAGCTATGGAGGTGGGTTTCGGCTAAGTGCACGTGACCAACCAAATGACTGGTGCCGTTACAGCGCTGATAGGGCACGTTTTGTGTATTTAAAATATGCTCTGACAAATTATGCGTCCGAAAAGCTGCCGTTGCCACTTGAGGCACGCACATGCGAGCCTTGCAAGCAGAGTTTTCAATTATTTGTCTCTAGAAGGCGGCGTAGATCCATATAACACATACATAAAACAAAAAAAAAAAAAATGTTTTCATTCAAACAGTTCCAGCAATTGCCCGGAGCACTTTCCAGCACGTGCTTTGTCGCCGCTCATGCCGCTTAGCGCTCTCCAGCCACGAACTTTAGCGTTTCTCTTAATTCTGTCATCTTTTGGCATTTCGTTGACATTTGTTGTTTGTGGGTCCTTTGTGCGCTGCCAAAATGCCAAAATACCAGTGTGGCTGTGGCGACAATTCCGCACAATGCCACAGCTTCCTGCTGTTGACATTTATGCACATCAGCGCCTCCGTTTCCGGTGTGCTCCTCGGGCGTTCCATTTTCAACACATTCGAGTCCCTGTTGCACGCACTCAACAGCAGTCGGTCTTTTGTTTTAAGCGCTCTGTGTGCAATAATCTGTCAGTTGGTATGTCACCATATAATTTCGTTCTTTTTGGCTCTTTTGCTTTAATTGTTTTCTAATGACATTTAAATTAGGCATATGATTCGTTCTCTTTGTTCCTCGGCTTTTGGAACTCTTTCGCACTGTCGCGTAAACCATTGTGGTTGACAAATTTTATATTGTAAAGTAGAGTTGCTTTGTCTTTTGGTGGATTAATTTCAAAAGCTGCGCAGCAAATGCCGTGGGGTATGGGTTTTCTGCGGTTTAAGAGTTGACAGTTCAAGAAATGCTTATAATTGTATTGGTGTTAGTATACAGCAAAGATATTTCTTTTATTTATTTCCTTAAAATTAAATCTCGCTTTACGTTTTGTAAAGCTTTTGTTGACTTTTTACATTTTATGAATACTTAAGGGGTTACTTGGGTTTCGTCGGGTAAAACTGAGCATTTTTTCAAAACTTTTTTTCTCCTATAAAAATTTAAATATTTTCTTAGAATAATAAAATTAACAATAAAAATATTGTTACAAATATATACTATTAATAAAGCAATTCTGAAGTTTTTGGAAAAAACTATTTTAATTTCGGCCAATGCGATGCCATTTCCGGTGACCCCTCGGAAAAACGATGCGCCCGCTTTGGCAGGATAACTTGTTACGTGAAAAAATACGTGGTTTAATTAAAATCTTAACTTATAACTTTAGCAAATTAAAAAAAAAATAACTGGAAATTTGATTTTTGTCAGACTTTTTTACAAAAAAAAAAAAATTTTTTTCGCAAAAATTTTTCGACATTTTTTTTTTTTCAAATAGTTGTAATAGAAAAAATCTTTCGTCCAAGTCCTTAAGAATTGATTTCAAAGACCTGTGTGAAATTTCATGAAGAAACGGTACAGTAAGATTCGAAAAATCAACTGACTTCAAAAACACAGTTTCGAGTAAAACGCATTAAAAGACAGCGCACAAGTTCTCAAGGCTGTATCTCCGAAACTATTACTCGGACCAACTTGAAAATTTAGAACAATATTCTAAAGGGGTTGTAGAATTAACTTAAGTATTTTGTATTTTTATTTTATTATTTAAATTTAAATAAGGCTGGATACAAAATGAAGCTCGATATATGGACGTCACATAAATTAACGCA